TTTAAAAAAAGATATATACATGCACTTTGTCAAATTGAAGAAGTTCATGTTTTTTCTATTTCTCTATGTGCATTTTTCTGAGAGTTTTAATAGTGAATGAATATCAGATTTGTTTTTGTTTCTGCATCAGTTTATGTGATCATGTTATTTTTCAACATTAGCTGGTTACTAGGATTGACTTTTGAATATTAACGAAGCATCATTTCCCTGTGCCAGGGACCCCTCCCTAAACAACAGAAAATGAATATTAAAGCTGTAAAGGGATGGTGGCTATGGACAGATATGGTAGGTCCGTTCCAGTAGGGGTTTTCAAAATATAAGGGGGCAAAGGAGACTTTCCAAGAAAAACCACCTCACAATTTACACAGTTTTAGTATATGCATGTGTAGCCTTGTAACAATTATGTAAGCAGTGCTATAGCTCTAAAATATCCAATCAAAATATGTATAACCAAATATGTAAAGGTAAGTTTACAGTTGTTTGTGCCAGGGTATGTAAGACAATGGCCTGTTTTGTTCAGGGCCCAGGTTCTGGATACAAATCCTCTGGGACTGCAGACATAAAATAAAGTCTGCTTCCTGCTGAGAGCTCTGGTGTCCCACCTCTCTGACTCAAGATTCCTGCTACATGTAAGGGGCCTCCAGTCCAGGATTCAGAGACAGTGTTTTCACCTCCTTTGTCACTAGGGTACAAATCCCTGGGACACCCAGAGAGACACCCTGCCCCCATGCACTAGCAGACTGGCTGATCCCTATGGGACTAGCCTTCCCGACAAGCCAAGGCAAAGACTCTGGGAGCACAAAAGAACTCAGTGAAGCACCAGAAGTGCCCAGTGAGGTGCAGAAACCAGTGAAGGGAACTACTAAGACTAGTTGGAACCTGGTTTACAAAGTGGAAGAATATAAAAGGCAGAAGGGAAGCCTGACCACCTCCCAGAACTGTCATGTAGTCTCACAAGATTGGAGGGAGTACCAAGGTGGGAAGGCTCTGCTGAGATGAAAGTTGCAATTCTTAGGAATTAGGGTGGTGGGTTGGAAATGTTGCTTGTGTAATAAAAACTTTTTGAAAAGAAATATTCAGGAAACTATGGTGTTAAAATGCCTTCCGGGTAACAGATGTTATGCATATGTTATATGTGTGTACATGTTGTATGTTTATGGGGAAAAATTTTGTTCAGAGCTCTGTTTTAATTGGTGTACAGATAAAATAACATACATACATACACACACACACATATATATAGAGTGTGTGTTAAATTAACTGAAAATATTTTTGTTCACATAGAAATGGGTTGCTTTAATTTTTTTTAAAAAAAGTCAAATTATCTTAAAAATGCTGACCAGATCCTAAAATAGTTCATTTCATCTGGGAAGCCAGAGAAGGGTCCCCCATCTTGCACCAACACTGTGTCTTCTACTACCTACCAGAGCCCAGCAATTAAATATTTCAAGTCTCTATCAGTATGTACAGATTAATTCCCCAAGCCTTATGAAAGGGATAACTACCCTTTTTTCTGTAATAATGCATGGTCATATATAAAAGACCAAACAGCACAACAACAAAAAAAATAAATAAAAACTTAACTGTGTTACATACAGTTTTGCAGTTAGATTTTTTTAAAAGCCCCCCTTTTGAACTAAACAATAAAAGAGAAAGATAAAAAGTTCTACTAATGACTTCAAAATGTATAGACAAGTTGGGTATGGTGATCATCATCTTTTGATCTTACCTAAAAGGACATACCTCTCCTCATGGACATTGTCTTATCTTCACGGGGAAAAAAATCATACCTGTGACTACAGATTTCTGGGTCAGGACTCTAAGATCAGGGATGGGACTAAACATCCCCTTTGCTGATGTCCTAAAGTCTGCCTCTATAGTCTACTTTAAAGAGACCCAGTAAGAAGAGGAGCCAGCTAGGCAACAGGAACAATAGAGGGATGGCTGGCTGATCAACTAACAATAGCTTTACACATTGATCTGCCATCAAGGAAACCCACCAAAGCCAGTCTAGGCCAAATGGCATAGGTTTTCTTTTTTTCTTTTCTTATTCATTTTTAGATTTATTTTATTTATTTATTAGAAAACTTTTATTTAATAAATATAAATTTCCAAAGTACAACTTTTGGGCCGGTGCCACGGCTCAATAGGCTAATCCTCCACCTGCGGCGCCGGCACACCAGGTTCTAGTCCCGGTTGGGGCACCAGATTCTGTTCCGGTCTCTCCTCTTCCTGTCCTGCTTTCTGCTGTGGCCTGGGAGTGCAGTGGAGGATGGCCCAAGTGCTTGGGCCCTGCACCCGCGTGGGAGACCAGGAGAAGCACCTGGCTCCTGGCTTCAGATCAGCACAGTGTGCTGGCCGCAGCGGCCATTGAGGGGTGAACCAATGGAAAAGGAAGACCTTTGTCTCTCTTTCTCTCTCACTGTCCACTCTGTCAAAAATAAATAAATAAATAAAAATAAACAAAGTACAACTTTTGGATGATAGTGGTTCTTCCCCCCATAACCACCCTCTTACCTGCAAACCATCCCATCTCCTACTCCCTCTCCCATCCCATTCTTCATTAAGATTCATTTTTAATTATCTTTATATACAGAAGATTAACTTAGTATATACTAAGTAAAGATTTCAACAGACTGCACCCACACAGACACACAAAGTACAAAGTACTGTTTTAATACTAGTTTTACCATTAATTCTCATAGTATAACACATTAAGGACAGAGATCCTACATGGGGAGTAAGTGCAAAGTGACTCCTGTTATTGATTTAAAATTGGCACTCTTATTTATGGCATAGATTTTCAATATGGAAAACCAGGGTTTTGGGCAAACATCAGTCATAACAAAAGCCAATCTCTAAAGAGTCCTATAAGCTCTGCCAAGAGCTAGGCCACTAAAAACAAAATGGTCCCAGGGTTGAATAACTCCAGGGTAAGGACTGCACACCCTGTTGGCCCTCCCCTAGGCTGAAAAGGTCCTTCAAACTTTCCAGCTTCCAAAGTAACCACCGCTATTGAGGGGACGGTCTAGAGCCAATAATGTTAAAGACAGGACTGTATATTTCCTTTTAAAAATGCTGCTTATTCATCACTAACCTTGTCTCAGGCCAACTCTCTTCCTAGGCCAAGTCAGGTGATGAGAGCCAAAAAGGGGTCTTCCCTAAGGAGGTGTCCTTGCTTACACTACATTTCTATTACTGCTGCTATAATCTGTGGTCAATGTTCTCACAAAAACAAAGGCCTAGATTTTAAACTATCACAGAACTCATATCTGTTCCTAGGCTTTCATTGTTATTTCTAAATTTCAAGGTACCTTGCTGCCTGATAGCCCCTGAAACTTTGGGCCTGTTTAATGCCAACAACTCAAAGTTAGAGTTCCTTACCTATGGAGATACAAAAGGAGTTGTATTCATTAGGACTCCGCACAGCAGTTGCTGAAAAGGGAACCAGAGGTGGTCTCCTGGATCCACAAAGTAAATATGGCATCAAAAGGTGACTGGGAGTACATCTCTGATCCAATGACACCATATAATTCATTCATTCATTCATTCATTTTGACAGGCAGAGTTAGACAGTGAGAGAGAGAGAGACAGAGAGAAAGGTCTTCCTTTTTCTGTTGGTTCACCCCCTAGGTGGCCCCTACAGCTGGCGCACTGTGCTGATCCTAAGCCAGGAGCCAGGCGCCTCCTCCTGGTCTCTCATGCAGGTGCAGGGCCCAAGGACCTGGGCCATCCTCCACTGCACTCCCGGGCCACAGCAGAGAGCTGGAGTGGAAGAGGGGCAACCAGGACAGAACCAGCACCCCAACCGGAACTAAAACCCGCAAGTGGAGGATTAGCCTAGTGAGCTGCGGCACCAGCCAACACCATACAATTCAATAATCTAAAATAAACAAGCCGAGTCTCAAGAGATCCCCCAAAGACAACAGCTGTGCTTTAGTCATTCTGAAAGCTGACTAATCTATGCACCGCAGATGCTTGATGAATTAACTGCCTAACAAAATAAGTACATTGTTCTTATTCTCTAATAATTACAATACGTTATAGTCAACCGTAAAGCAGAATGTTTACAAACCGTTTTTGTTAAAAAAAAAAAAACAAAAAAAAACAAGTTTACTAACACTGCTTCAGCTGACTGGACTCAGGGCTTCACTTCTTTTGGATAGTGTGAATAACTCTTATAAAGTGGTATAAAGTCAAGGTCATGAAAAATAAAATAGGGGGCAGCGTTGTGGTGTAGCGGTAAAGCTGCCACCTGTAGTGCTGGTGTCCCATGTGGGCACAGGTTCAAGTCTTGGCTGCTCCACTTCTGATCCAGCTCTCTGCTATGGTCTGGGAAAGCAGGAGAAGATGGCCAAAGTGTTTGGGCCCCTGCACCCATGTGGGAGACCCGAGGAAACTCTCTGCTCCTGGCTTTGTATGGGTGCAGCTCCGGCCACTGCGGCCATTTGAAGAGTGAACAAGCGAATAGAGGACCTCTCTTTCTGTCTCTTTCTCCTCTCTGCCTCTCTGTAACTCTGCCTTTCAAATAAACAAATAATTTTTAAAAATATATAAACCTTTAAACCAAGGTGACTCTCTTTGATCCTGAGAGAGTCTGTGCATCAAAGGGGTTAATGCAGCAAGGATGTCTCCAAAAACTAAAGAACACAAATAATTAAGCTGTAAAGGAGAACCAGCTAAGGGCAGATATGGTGCAGGATTTCCAGCAGGGGCTTTCTGAGAACAAGGGGGCAAAAGGATCTTTCCAAGAAAAGCCACTTCCCAACCTAAACAGTGTTCGTTACACATGTGAAACCTTGTAAAATTATGTAAGCAGTGCTATAGCTCTAAAATACCCAAAATATGTATAATCAAATATATAAAGAGAAACTTAAAGTCACTTGTGCCAGGGTATATAAGACAATGCACTGTTATGTCCAGGGCCCCAAGATTCTGGATAAAAATCCCCTGGGACTGAAGGTATCAAATAAAATCTGCTTCCCGATGAAAGCCTTGGTGCCCCACCTCTCTGTCCAAGACTACCACTGCATCCCTAGAATAAATCCTAGTTGGTATAATGTAGCAAAGAAAAAAGCAGTAGAATATAAATCATCAGAATCAATCTGAATGTGAGGCAGAGGGGTGTGTCTGCAAAATGGAAAAGTGGAGAATTCTGGGAAGCTGCCCGCCTCAGAAGCATGGAAAATCTACAGAAAGGGTCAGAATCAACTTCAGAACTCCGGGAAAAGTCACAGGATCACAGCCCCTGACAATTGCTTAATCAGAGGCAACACTCACGAGGCAAAACCCAGGACATGGACAGATCTCTGCCACTTTGACCTCCTCCTCCGGGGCTCCAAGCCCTCCCCTGCGCAGGGGCCTCCTAGCGGCTCTCACGCCCTGGCCAGGAGGTGGGCGCAGGGTTCCCTGAGGACAGCGCATGCCTGGTCCCCGGAGCGCCCAATTCCTGTGTTTTTCCCCTGGGGGCTAACACAAAGGACTTACCTGTGGTCGTCTTCACTCCTCGGGGTCTCTAGTCAGGCAGGGGCTGCACAACGGCTTCTCCTCAGGTTCCCAAAGGCGCGGCGCGCGGCGCGGGCGCCGTGGGCGCGCGTCCAACGGTCTCCGCGTGGTGCCGCCGCCGCCGCCGCCGCCGCTGCCTCGCCTCCCCCTGGTGGCGGCAGGAGGAAGCGGACGCGACTGACCGGAGAGCGGCAGTGCAGGAAGCAGGCGGCTTCCACAGCCGTCCCAGGGCTCCGAAGAGCGGAGATCGCCTCCTTCTCTGCTTTGGATCGGCCACCGGCTCTGGACTGACCGGCGTCACCGTCTTCCTGTGCCGCCAGCTCCCGGAGCACCCGGATCCCTGAGCTGTACTCAACTGGTTCCCATTTCACAGCAAGGTGGTGATGGCTGCCTCTAAGATCCAGTCAAGGCCGACCAGACACGGAGCGTCTTGATCGCTAGGGCTGCAAGAAGCAGGAGGAGCTGCCCGAGCTTCTGCAGGGAGCCTGAGGACCACAGGCTGCTGGTAAGAAGCAGGCAGGACCCACACCCACGGGGCGCCCAGAGGGAGCCTGGTGGTACTGCTGGAGAGTGTATGAGGGTAATGGGGGCTCCTGGGTATATTTGAGATCCTAGGCCGAAGAACAATCGTGTCGGTTTTTGTTGTCACAGTTACGGAAGAGTGAGTGAAAGATGGGTTAGCCTCTATTTAAATAGGAAGCAGGAGAAAGTGAGTCCATCTCAGGTGTGTGCTGTAATAAATCTGTACAGGCAGAGTCGCTGGAAAAAAAAAAAAAATAAGCTGGGTTGGTTCCCAGCAATGGGAATTCCAAGGACCCTTCCCTCGGTTGTAACTGCTGCCCACACCTCTGGATGGCCGCCTCCTGTGAAACAGAATCCTGACAGCCACCCCGTGCCATCTTATTCGGAGAGGCTTTTTATCTTCCTTGTCAATCACCTGAATGAAACTTGAAAACTGTGGATTTGTCATGTAATTTTTTCAGTCTACTTGTAGGTTTTTTAGACAATTTAAAATTATGGTAAAAAAGAATACAAAATAATTTAGTAAGTCAAAGTGATGTCAGATTTATGTTAGATGTCATATCTGTTTCCCCTCCCCTTATGTCATTTCTTTACAACAATATTCTTTTTATTTCTATGCATTTATTTCCCATTTGGCATCAGTCTGATTTATCAATTTAAAATACTTGTGGATGTATTTTCCCATAAACTGTTTTGTCATTCACAGCATTAATGTATTCCATAAATCCTTCTGTGGTGATAATGAATCAAATATATCCTTGGTATGAAGAAATCCATCCATTTTTAATATTGTTTCCTAGCACAGCATTGTTTTGTATATTGCAGATTTTAGTTATTTCAGTATGACACAATTAACTATTTTGCCATAACAATTTTTATGTTCAGGAATTTGTCACCTGATTTGAGTCCTCAGGTCTAGGCTCTGTCTCCAGCTTCCCATTGTGAATGCTTCACTATAACTCAATAGTCATTTCAGATGAAGTGTAACTCCACAGTGTTGGTGATTTTAGGACAATATTTAATAAATACATATTAAGAAAATCGTATTTGTAAAATTCGATTTAGGATGCTCTATTAGCAAATTAATTTATTCATAGTCTCTCTTCAAACAGAATAATTTAGAATAATATAATTCTTATTATAAATTGATCGTAATAAGTATTTTTCATTTTTAAGTGACTTTTTTGATTAACTTCCATGTTTTCACTAACTGAGCTGAGGAGTCTATCTTCCATGCCAGGCAGTGATGACTGCCCCGTAGTAGAGTCAGATGGTCTTCGTGCTACTCAGCTATTATTAGAGGCTTAAAAGCGTGAGGGCACCTTAGAAGGTCTCATCTTTTCTAGCTTGTTAGTAGGGCCTGTTTGTCACATGATTAACTTTTGAGCCACTGGACAGTTTTGACTGAGCATTATTTCATCTCTACCCACTTTAGATTTGTTTTGAAACATACTGGTACTTTATCTAAAACTCTTGCACCTCCTCAAATAATTCAGAAATGAGGAGGGAAGGAAAACTTTTGACTAAGATGTAGGGAGGAGAGTAAAAACTATCTCTTATGTAGAATTTAGCCTTATGTAATTATTGTCTCTGGTTGTACAGTAGAAAAGAAATGAAGTTAAAGCATTTATTATAGGAGTAGGTGAAGGAACAGGTGTTTGGCCTCATGGTTGCTTGGAATGGCTCATAGTCATATCAGAATACCTGGGTTCAAGTCTCACCTGTGCTTCCTATAATAGCTTCCTTTTAGTCCACACCCTAGGATGTTGCAGTGGATGTCTCAAGTGCTTGGGTACCTGCCACCCACATGGAAAATCTGCATGATATTCTGGGCTCCTGAGTCAGTGTGGCCCAAACTGTGCTGTCTTTGGCATTTGAACAAATGGGAGATCTCTGCCTGTATGTCTCTGTTTTCTCATTGTCACACTTTCTCTGCCTCTGTGCCTCTCACATAAATGCATAAATAAAAATTTTAAAAATATATTTTCTAGAAATTGTTGCTTCTAAAAATATAATTGCTGCTAAAATTTGAGTGCTGTTACACCTAAGGAAAGTTGGTTCCCTTTTAAATATGAGATTGTGTGTCTTTAATGCAGGTGAAGATGAACAATAATTCAAAAACTAAAATATGTCAAACAAATGAAGTTAGAAAAAATTAATAGTATTTTATTTTAAATTTACGTAGTGTGAACTTACTCATCTAAAAATGTTATATATGTTTATATAAACTTTTCTTGAACAGAGATTATGTATTATTTTCTCCTACTAATTTTGGGTTTTGTTTATTGTTTTTCTAGGTATTTCAGGGCATGGAAATATCATTCATTCGGTGCCTTTCCAATTTCTTCATGTAGGCACCAACTGCTATAAAATTCCCTCTTAACACTTCTTTTGGAATATCCCATAAGTTTTGATATGCTGTATTGTCATTCTGATATCCCATAAGTTTTGATATGCTGTATTGTCATTTTGATATCCCATAAGTTTTGATATGCTGTATTGTCATCTTCATTCACTTTCAGAATTTTTTTCATTTCTCTTTTGATATTTCAGTGGCACACTGTTCATTCCAGAAAATGTTCTTCAGTCTCCATATGCTTGCATATGTTCTAGAGATTCTTGAGTTGTTGATTTGAGCATCATTCCATTGTGGTCAGAGAAGATACATGGTATGATTTCGATTTTTTGATTTTGCTGAGACTTTCTTTATGGCCTAGCGTATAGTCTGTCCTAAAGAAAGTCCCAGGCACTGTTGATAGCAATGTGTATTCTGCAACTGTGGGATTAAAAGTTCTGTTGATATTCATTAGCTCTGTTGTTTCTTGATTTTCTGTCTGATTAATCTGTACATTGCTGAAATTGGGGCACTGACATTCGCCATTACTATTGTATATAATCTATCTCTCTCTTTAAGGTTCATTAACATTGCTTTTAAATAGCCAAGTGCCTTATAGTTGGGTGCATATAGGTTTATTGTAGTCCCATCTTCCCATTGAATTGATCCCCTCTTTGTCTCTTTTAACATTTTTATGTGTTAGAGCCTATTTTGTCTGATATTAGGATGGCTACATGGCTCTTTTTTGCTTTTTGTTAGCATGGAATATCTTTTTTCATCTGTTCGCTTTTAGTCTTGAGGGATCCGTATTGGTGAGGTGTGTTTCTTGTAGGCAGCAAATATATGGGTTTTGCTTTTTAATCCATTTATCGAGTCTGTATCTTTTAACAGCTGTGAGTGTAGTTGTAGATCTTCTGAAAGTAATTTGATGTTTCCCTTGTGCATATTTTAGAATCTCTTCATTATGTTTTACTGTAGAAAGTTTGACTACAATGTGTTGTGGTGAAGGTCCTTTCTAGTCATATCTATTAAGAGTTCTATGCACTTCCTTTACTTGGACATCCCTTTATTTCTCCAAATTTGGGAAGTTTTCTGTAATTATTTCATGAACTATGCTTTCTAATCCATTAGCTCTTTCTACACTTTCATGAACTCCTACAACTCTGCTGGCTTGATTTCCATTACTGATTTTAATTTTTTCTCCTTTCTTCTTTTTTGTTGGTGTGACTGAAAAATTTTCAGTATTGGCAGAATCAATATCATGAAAATGTCCATACTACTGAAAGGATTTTTCTGATTTAATGTGACCCCAATTGAAATACCAAGGGCACTCTTCTCAGATCTAGAAAAAATGCTTACATTCATATGGAAATACAAAAGATCCAGAATATATAAAGCAATATTATACAACAGAAACATAGCCAGAAGCATTACAGTACCAGATAGCAAGACACACTGCAGGGCAGTTATAATCAGAACAGCCTGGTACTGGCATAATAACAGACTTGTAGACCAACGGAACAGAATAGAAACTCCAGAAATCAATTCATGCATCTACAACCAACTCATATTTCACAAAGGAGCTAAAATCAACCACTTAGGTGAGGACAACCTCTTTTTTATTTATTTGACTGGTAGAGTTATAGACAGTGAGAGAGAGAAACAGAGAGAAAGGTCTTCCTTCCATTGATTCACTCCCCAAATGGCTGCTGCAGCCGGCACTGTGCTGATCCAAAGCCAGGAGCCAGGTGCTTCTTCCTGGTCTCCCATGTGGGTGCAGAGGCCCAAGCACTTGGGCCATCCTCCATTGCTCTCCTGGGCCACAGCAGAGAGCTGGACTGGAAGAGGAGCAACCAGGACTACAACCCGGCACCCATATGGGATGCCAGTGTCACAGGCAGAGGATTATCCAGGTGAGCCATGGCACCGGCCCCGAGGACAACCTCTTTAACAAATGGTTCTGGGGAAATTGGATATCCACATGCAGAAGTATGAAACTAGACCCTTACTTTACACCTTACACAAAAATCCACTCAAAATGGATCAAAGACCTAAATCTATAACCCAATACCATCAAATCACTAGAGAACATTATGGGTACTCTGCAAGACATTGACATAGGCAAAGACTTCTTGGAAAAGACCCCAAAAGCAGACAATCAAACCCAAAATTGACAAATGGGATTACATCAAGGTGAGAAGCTTCTGCACTGCAAAAGAAACACTCAGCAAAATAAAGAGGCAATTGACAGAATGGGAGAAAATATTTACAAACTATGCAGCTGATAAAGAATTACTATTCAGAATCCATAAAGAGCTCAAGAGATTCAGCAACTTTGAACAAACCAGTTAAGAAATGGACAAAGGACTTAAACAGGCATTTTTCAAGAGAAGAAATTAAAACTGCCAACAGACAGTTGAAAAAATGCTCCATATCATGAGCAATCAGTGTAATGCAAATCAAAACCACAATGAGGTTTTACCCCACCCCAGTTAGAATGGCTTTTTTACAGAAATCAACAAACAACAAATGCTGGTGAGGGTGTAGGGAAAAGGGTACCATAATCCACTGTTGGTGGGAATTCAAACTCATGTATCCACTGTGGAAGACAGGTTGTAGAAATCTAAGAAACCTGAATATAGATCTAG